GTTGTTTCTGATTGGTCTAACTCATCTACAGGCAGCGTACAAGCTCTGTGTTATTAGTTAAATGTAATAATCCACTAATAATAGTCTAGTCTAATTGAGGCCATTCGGAATACAACTCCTATCTGATTGAACGAGGTGGGTAATCCTGTAAATAATTCGTTAAAGAGAAGAATAATAACCATGTAAACGCGTGTATCTGATTACATTCCCAATCTGAAAGTTTAAGTACGCTCTGATCGTGTGCGGCGCGTCATAGTGACAGTTTATACCATTCAACATGGCGGAGCAGAAACTGGTCTGCAGAGGAGACGAAGTTTATGCTCTGATCTTTAAAAGACGGCGGTGGGACGGACGTCCAGCTTGTGTGTCTCAGAACACGACGTCTTCCTCTCGGCCTTCTTTAATAAGGACATGCGAAGGACGTTTTCCTGAGTCTGACATCATTTTAAAGCAATTAAAAACACAAGCACTGCTCACTGCTGCTCGTCTCACTCTGACTGGATGCTCGTTGTCACGGTAACATCTACATTAAGCGGTTCTTTTTTGATCTGATTACTTGTAGTGTGAATGTAAACGGAGGTTTTCATCAGATTGTTGAGTAGAGTGAGAACATAAGCGCCTCAGTCTTAATCTATGATCGGACAGGCTTTGTCCGTTCCTGATGTATTAATCTATTCAAACGTACAATGTGAGTCACCAAAGAACAAGATTCCTCAAACTGCATAGTGTAGACTGGATTTAGAGGCTCATTTAACTTCAGCTTAACAAGCCAAACAAAGGACTCTGGCAAGACGTAAAACTCGACAAGTGAGTTTCTCAGATGTATCAGCCTTGAATGTGATTCCTGCTGTTGCTACTTCAGAGACTGTTGTTGAAAGAGACAGATGAGGAGCAGAGATCAACACTACCTCCTGGAAGAAAACCCGCTCTTCTCCACTGCAGTGCTGCTTGATTTAAGATAACTAATGTGACGTATCTAGCTAATGCACTTCATTTAAAATCAGCTAGATTTTAATGATTTAAGGTTAACGTTAAGGTGTAATGCACTAACAGCTACTAAATTCTGATCGGGCTGCTCATAGGGCTGGGCGATAAAACGATAACGATAAGTATCGCTATATAACTTTTCCTCTATAGAGCGATAAGACAGGTTCGATAAATGTTCGATATAATACACCGTTCTCACACTTCCACGTTTTAGCGAAAGCCCTGGTGGCGTTTTCTACAGCAAGGAAAGCGACACTACTCTGCTGTCGCCACTAGAGGGTGCACTTCCGGGTTTTTCGACTTGATTAGAGAGGGGGGGGGCCACGAGTAAAAGGGGTCGCCAAATATACTTTAGCTACATCTGAAACGTGGAGTTATACATTCCCTGTCTGAGTGGAGCGACCGGCGATCTGTTCTCCTGTGACCGAGTGATGGGATAAGTGACGTGACTGTACTGTCCTATGGTGAACTCACCTCTGTCTGTGCATCCTAACAACTTTAGCGGTGTTAAATCACGTCTGCAGCGCCGTGTTACAGCGCCAAACCGCCATATTTTAGTATTAGTGCATTCTCGAGCAACGAAAGTGAAAGAAAGAAGTGGGTTAATGTGAGTTACAGCCCTGATTTAAACGAAAGTAAACTGAGGAAGCTGTGAGACATTGGAGAGCAGGAGAGCTCTATCTTTCCAGGCTAGCTGTTTTTAGCTGCTGGCTAACTGAAGCCTTCAAACGTGGAAGAAATAATGATTTGACATTTATTGCGATATGTATCAATATCGAACGATATGAGTTTTGTTTATCGTGATAACGTTTTTGGCCATATCGCCCAGCTCTAGCTGCTCATTATGGTATCTGTATCGACAAGTAATTGAAAAACATGTACTTGCCCTCTTATCTGGTCTGAAAAAAATACTATCAATCATTCCCAGTAATCTACAATGACAATCTTTATCCAAATCAACACAACACCCTGCGTAATGCTGGTCTGCAGCCATGAAACAGTTGTACCTCACAGCTGAAGAAACTACTAGTATAGCAATTCAATACAGTATATAGATCTCTCAATTCAACACATTTTTCGACACAGCAAAAATAAGGAGTGGCTGAAAATCAGTGCTTTACAAAACAACGTTACTGCATCCATTTTTTTTTCAACATTATAAAACATTACAAAAGCATTCAAGATTATAGAAATACGAAAATTAAAACAAAGGTTGCTCTTTATAGTGTCCCAATCCAATATCCTAGCCTCAATACAGCGATTCAATACGATATGCTGCGATAAAGGTTGATACAGTACAACATATTGTATTATTACATCCTAAAAGTTACTTCGGCTGCATCCGCACACTTAAATGAAACTTCTCTCATCAGCTATGCTTGATTTTGCCTGGTCTGTATTCCACGGCCTCATTAAATACATAAATATTTTGACAAAGTTGACGAATATGTTTTACTTACACAACATTATTTATAATGGTACACTAATCATCTCAGAAAAAAAAGCACACGGATCCACACAGATCAGGCAAAATCAAGGAAAACATGGGTTTCACACAACAAATCCAAATCCAAAAGTCCATAACTTTGGAACTGATTCAGAGAATCTGTGCCTCACTAACACTGATCCGCTGTTCTTTCTCTTCTCTCTTCTACGAATCTCTCCCCGCAATCTATCATTCCACTAAATGGTCTTCCCTTCAGGTTGATCAAAGATGGCCTTTACAGACATACCAGGAACAGCGGCTATCATCCAATCATAAGTTTTTGTGCTATCGTGAGAGAGGAAATACTACGCTACTTGATTCATATTGTGGCTTTCACAGCTTAATTGCCACAGGATAGCTTTAGACAGACCAATAAAAACAGACAGGCACAGATAAAGTTGAATGAAACTGTAATATAAAGTGGATTAAAAGGAGAAAAAAACAATTTAACAACATCCCAGAGGAAGTAAAGTGTTTGAGTATTTATCGTTGGGTTAATTAGTTACCATTTCTGCCCAACTGAGTGAGATTCAGCAGCATTTTACAAACAAAATGGGTCACCAACTAGCCAAAAACTCAAATACGAAACAGAAAACCGAAATTTACAAATTAAGTGTTGTATAGATGCAATGAGCTTTCCACGTCTTTGGGAAAAGGAGAACATTTTTCAGTTTTTGACATCATTTGAAAATGCCTGCTGCCTTTTACATTGTGTGCATATTTCATGATAAATAGACCAAAACAAATGACCCAAAATTGCTTAGAAAAAAAGTCTGGTTCCACTGACTTCCATTAAAAGTAAAGTATGTTTTTTCCTTCTCTTGTAAAGCTATGATTTTGGAGATACCAGGTTTTGTTCCGAAAACAGTGATATAATTGCATACAATGTATTTTGGTAGTATATACTGTTGCACACAAATGTTTAATCCACAATTATTGTTTGCTTACTGAATTTCACATACTGGAGAAAAAAAATGAAACAGAAAATATGGCCTGTGCAAAAGTTATTGCACATTTTATGTATTATTTTATTTTTTTGAACATGTGAGATCCAGCAAATAAACAGAACTTGTGCTCTAATATTAGAGGAAAATGCTCTGATTCTACAGAACTCAAATTAACCCAGTTTCGCTTAGAAAATCAAGAAAACTGGAGGCTTTCAAACTTCTGCATACGACTATAAATGTTTTAAGGGACAACAGAGGTGAGCAAGGGGACATTTTTGCCCAGGAACCCTGTTATTTCTAATACAAACCCAGACTAAACATGTTTTACAGGCTGTTACACAGTTCCAGCTTTGCACAGAAAAAATCCCTCTCAACAGCTCCAGACTCACCACAAACAAGTCACATGCAAACAAAATCCATCAGCACTGAAACAGGATCGTGGTCTCTCCAACACGACTGTCTGGCAGTTCTCTCCTTCGCCACATTCTTTCAAGCAATTGAAAGTAAATCTAGGAAAATGAATATCTAACGTACAGACAATACAACACACGCTTCTACTTGTCTTTCTTTGTGTCTTAATGTATGGTGACATCTATGTAAAGTGTGTATGAAGTCTAGTTAAGTGTTTACACACTGGGCACCCTTCCAACCGCGCAACTGTAACTGTGCAGTGATTGATGCCCAAAGGCAGAGAGAGTCACGTAACTCAGAGATCTTCTCTTTAGCACTTGAGCAGATTATTTTAGGATACCTGACAGTAAATGTATAGCCTAAGTCCACACTTTGTTTAAAAGGGTGCAACAGGAGATGAACTGGACTACTCTCATGTTTCCTGCAGCGAGAAACTGGATAAACAAGATTTTCAATTCCAGTAATCAGATACTTGACAGGTTGTAAACAGAAACTCAGATCTATGAAAAGGTAACTTTACAGGAGAAGCAAAACACTCAAATTTTATTTACATTAACATTTTTTTTCTGGATACTTTTGCACCATTTCCATTGGTCCATTTACTAAGAAATATTAAAATAATGTAAAAAAAAAACAAAAAAAACAAAAAACCACAGTGTTTTCAAACAGTCTAAAAGAAAAGAAAAAAGATAGACAAGAAAAAAAGGGGTTACAAGGTTTTTGACCAACTGTATCCCCACAACTTGGAGCTGTAAAGCCTCTTACAGTCCTTTTAAATGTAAAGGCATAACAATTTCAATTCAATTTCATTACCATTTCAACAGTGTGTTAATATTTAAAATTGCACCAACATGTCTGTCAGTCTGGCTGAACTGCTCTTATTTGACCAAAACTGGGCACCTGGTTGCATCCTATGAAAGTAAAGTGGGTGGGGAGGGGAGGGGCTTACGATATCCATGCACGCACATTTAAAAAAGACCAAAATTGTGGGGTTTATTTTGTTAGAGGGCTTGTGTGAGTAGGATATAATCAGAGTTCTGTAGAATCAGGTTATTTTTAATATGTAAAATGTACCAAAAAATTCATTTCAATCAGGATCTCATAACTGAAAACCATACTGAACCCTAGATGTATGTACAGTTTGAGTTTGTTCAGCAATTCTTCTTTACCTCTATATGGAGAACACCCGGCAGCCCCCCAACCTGCTGCTCTATGGTCTGGACGCAGGAGCCGCATGTCATCCCCTCCACCGGCAGGACCACAGAGCGCAGGCCGTCCCTCTGAGTCATGATTTACTCTGAATGGACACACACGACGTAAGGGGAGAGCAGGTTAAAGCTTAAGGTTAAATAGATAACAAGCAACAGTCAGTACATACAAACAGCTCTCGGTGTGACTTTGCAAAGCAAATATTAGGCATGGCTTTTAGAGCTCATGTACGCTGGGTTTCAATAATAAAACCTTCGTCACTGTAGATAAACACTGATAAAGAGAACTAACAGCTGATTCACTCTAGCAAAGTCCTCACTGTAGCCTATTCCCATGCACTATTTTATAAAGCTGTCACTGCCAATTCAAACGGACTTGAAAAAAACAAAAAAGATTTACGGCCATCAAAGATTTTCACTGGAAAAATAAAATAAAGTAGGACTACAAATACACATAAATGGGGGTGTCTATCAGCTGCTGTTTCTTGCTGTAAGCGAGACCATCATTTCAAATAAGCATTATAACTAGGGATGTACTAATATGGGAACTGTGGGCCAAGGCAGATATCTCTCATGTGCATATCTGTCAAAGTCGATACCGATGCCCATACAAACATTTCTTAAATGTAGATATGGAAATTTGAACTGAACTTACTTGTATCAGCATTACAGGGAAATGCAAGAATTACTTGTAAAGGGTTAGAAACGCAATAGAATTAATACAACTGAGACATTTTAGCATAGCAGCCCAGCATCACCTACACATCCTGTTCTTTCAGAGTAGAGTAAATGTGTCAGATATCAATGTCAAATCTCAAAGACTGAGATATTTTTCATGTTGCACTTTATACAGGTTGATTAAAAAAAGTTTAATCCGATTTCAAAGCACCATATTTTTACAACCGTGAGGCGCCTAGGAACCAATCACATACCAACTGAAAGAGGGGGGTCGTAGAGTTTATGAGCCGCTAACAGCTCAGAGCGTTCGTCGTTGGTTCCACAACACTGGAAATCGCACTGAAAGAGCCATGAGTGCAGTGACACCCGACATGCTCAATGGAGTATGGGATGAATTTGACTGTGGCGTTGATGTTGTCAGTACAGCTGGAGGAGGATCATATTGAGCACTTGTAGAATTACATAAACTTTATGCTCATTTAAACCATTTACAGTTTACTGCATTGTTCTGTAATGATTTACAAGTGAAAGAAATCATCGGATGAATGTTTTTGAATCACCATGTATTATTTCATTTTGCACTACCATGTCTGTATATACTCTCTCATCGCGTTTATCTTTAGGTCTTTGGCCTTATTTATCTTTATTTTCTTTTTTTTTTTTTTTATTTGTCCTTGCTGTCAATTTTAAAGCTGCAATGGTTTTATATTGTTTTTAAACAGGGACAATAAAGATCTATCTATCTGTCTTTCTTTCTTAACATCTGTCAGATGCTTATAATTATTTTTTTAGGAAATCATCTGACCATTCTGATATGACTGTGCAACACATTTCTTGTTTCACTAAGTAATCATGAGACCTCTATTGTTCTGTCAAGTAACTACACTAAAGCCATGTAAACAGACAAGAGTTAGTAAATATTACTACAATGTGCACCAACAGAACCAGGCCACCCTGCACTTAACAGGAGGACCAAAAAATTATGAATAATTAAGTTTTATGTAGTGAAGAATAATAAAATAATGCACGTGAGGACAGGGGAGGTGAAGAGATTAACTGAGTAATAAGCATGATCACATCTTCCGACAGCCTTATAACCATACAGGGACATTAATCTTGTGTAAGTCTCTTATCCAGTCCACAAAACAGACCTGGCATTTTAACTCAGTACAGCTCTGTATGGCTGACAGATCATTAAAAATGGCTAAAGTCTGATAAATCACAGTCTGTAATGCAGCAGACAAACTCTGAAATTGGAGAATCGTAAGACTGCGATGCTGACTGCAGGGTTCCTGCTTGTGTCCACATTCCTATCATAACAATTGTTATAAAAAAAAACCAAGGAAGGAAATTACTTCCGCTCAGAAATCAGCTTTCTCTGTTTTAAAACGACTTAGTCTTGATGACGGTGGTGTTTTAGGTGGTGGACAGATCAAGCAAAAAGGTATTATAAATCAGAATGTCATTTAATATTAGCCATGTTATTTATGTGAAGAATAGTCTAGCAAAGAGTTATTTTTAACTCATTTGCTCAGTATTTGGTAGTTTCTGTCCAAATTAGCAGCCCAATATTAACAGTCACTAACGCTGAGAGATGGCGAGCAATAATTCTGTAATGAAATCTTAGTTATGTTAAGGCTCGGCCTACATATCAGACTTTAGAAAAACAGGAAGGCAGTTCGGAAAATCAGTATGGACAGATACGAGTGTTAATGGGGGTTTCATGATTGTTGTTTCCAGACTATTTTGTAAAAGCTAAACAAGTCTTTTTTTTATATTTAAGGGGGACTCCACCGATTTTTCAAAATTTCTGTATAATTAAACAGTTTAATTAGTAAACAAAGTAAACAAAGTCATTCAGAAAGTGAAATGCTCTGCTCCAGAGAAACGTGCCGAGTCAGAACTGTTCACAGTGGTGGTGATAGGAACCAGACGTCTGAAGAGTTTAATGCCTCTAAAAGCTCCCTCACACACAAGTTATTACATTAAATGGTTATGAATTCACTGCCTGATGTCTGAGACGCTGTTTTACTATAGTCTCAATAAGGTTTTGATCTAAACCACCTTTTTTAAAACCCCTTCTAAATGCAGGGGGACACGTAAGCCACTGTAAGGCAAAACAGTTTTTGTAGATTTTCCATCATCAACATTACATACAGATACTCAGAAGACACGTGCAGGTTCACTGGTGGTTTTGGAAAGTAAATAAAACGACCACATTTGTGTTGTAGACATTGTCACCCCTGGTTCCCATCATCACCACCAGTGTAAAGAAATCTGATTCTGTAAGTTTCTCTAGAAATTTACAAATTCGCATCAAACCACTCTGAACGACTTTGTTTACATCTCAACCACTGAACTGTGCAGACATTTTGAAAAACCGGTGGAATTCCCCTTTAACGGTGCCAACGTTAGTTAACTAACCTACCTAACATCTCCCAGCTCTTCATAAGTTTGACAGCCTCTCATCGATACTTGTTCACAAAAGCAGGCAGTTCTAGCTGACTTAGCAAACCTAGCTAACCTACAGCAGTCTCGACTCAAACAAAAACAACAACGACCCAGCTTTTAAACAAAACATAAACAAGCTAATTAATTCGTTTTTAACCTCCCCAAAACATCAAGACGGCACACACCATCGCGACTACGTGTTACAAATCAGCTACACCAAACTGAAGTCAGGCTTGTTGCTCGAATTCCCCCGTTCCACCTTAAACGGTGCGGCAGTTACATTACGGCACGTTAGGCGCCGGAACCTAACCGCTACGGGATTTAAGGTGGATCGCGTAATTAGAACAAGAAGCTGGCGAAGAGGAAGCCTAACTTCAGCCTCGCATCAGCGAACGTAACTTCAAGCTAGTTGAGCTAATCTAAGGCGCAGGATAGCGTTACGTGGCCAAATAAATAACTAAATTACAACAATGACAAGGTATCTACTTCACTTACCTCTCTGTGAGACACAGTCTGAGCGTCCACAGTTGAAGCACCGCCGCTGCTGGCTGGTTTATTTCCTCCTGAGGGCTACAGAGTCACACTCTCACTCTCGCTCTGCTAGCGAGGCGGCGCAGGGATAAAACACGGTCAGTTAGCTTCGGCTAGCAGCTCTCCAGACTCACAGCACTCGGAGCTCCGCCCTCCTCCCCCCCACCGAGGACTGGACACGTAAACCACGACGGCATCGAATAAAACATGACCTGTATTCGGACAAAAAGCCCGTCTTTTCGGTGTAGCTGTCACTTTCCCAGATTGCTCATTTCAGCACTGATTAGCAGCCGTGCTACGAGACGAGACCGCCTCCGAGCTGACCGCACTCTTTAGGGTCAGCACTGCGCTGCAGACTGCGCAGCTCCAGCCTCCACACTGAGAGAGGCCGCCTTTAGCAGTGCGATTAGCACGTGACTGATAGACCTGCTTAAAACAAACACTTCATCCAGAAGAGCAGCAGGGCTTGTTAGTGTATATACATATATAATTCATAGCAGAAATCATGATCTATGTTGTGTCTCCTTCTCCACCAAGACATCACAATTTATATAGTTATGGTCGCTGCTGATACAAAACCTTTTCCATCTTTGTTGTCCTTCAATTTGATAGAGTATGACTGAATTTGAAATGGCTAATTCTTTTACACTGAGTCAAAATGTCATTATGAATGGACGAATTGAAATGCTCTAAAATTACTTGGAATAAATAAATGCTCTATTAACTTCTGTTAAAAAAGTAAAGCTATCTTTTTTCACCTTAATTTTGTTAAGTAGATAATAATAATAATAATAATAATAATAATCTAACAAAAGTTGAACAATTAGATAATAGTTGGTAATATTCTTATGTTTGTGCATGCAAATATTAACATCAGAATCTATATGATCAATGAGAAATACATCTATAATTATATACATATATCTATAATTCAGTGTCAGTACAGAAATGCCAAAACAGGTGAAGAAGCTTTATATCACCGGTGCAAATGACAAGTCAAGTGAAAGTAAGTGAACACACCCTCTACAGAGAACACACTTAAATATGAAAATTAAATTAAATTTTTCTGCTAATTTTAGTGCACAATTTCTATTTATTTGCTAAGATTTACATATTGTGGAAAAAAAAAATAAAATGCACAATAACTTTTACACAGGCCACATTTCATGTCTTTTCCCAGGATGTTAAATTCTGTAAATGAACAGTAATCGTGGACTCAAATTTGCAGAAGTGTGTTCTCTATAGAGGATGGGTTAACTTACTTTCACTTCTCATGAAAACCATGCAGTTTGACTAGGACGCCCAAACTTTTGCCGACGTCTGTATATCACTGGATGAACAGTTCATACTGACGTCCGTTTTCATCCTTAGAAGATCCTGGTTTACTGTGTCTAATTATCTAAGAGATTTCTCTCATTTTATCGTTGATAAACATATAGTAAAATCCACAAATGTTGCCAATCAAAATTCTATGCAGGGCAATTCTAATAAGTGACAACATAAAGGACAGATCCAATATCTCCCTGAAACTATTTATTTATTTATTTATTTATTTAGATTGTTGATTGGTTGGTTGGTTTATGTGTTTGTTTGGCATTGTCTGATGACTCTGTTTCACTCTCATTTTAAGTAAACGGATTTTTTAATAACCAGAAGGAGCCATTCAGTACTCACATTAAGATATATTCAAAGTAAAACATGGAATAAAAGGCATGAGCAGTGACTAATCAGGGTGTGTCTCTGTGCCAAGTGCATGTACTAAATGCCCAGTTGGCTGAACAAGTCTGTTTCTTAGTCACCGGTCGAGTTTCCACCTTTTAACTGACGTTTAATCTAAAGGGAACAGACCAGCACAGCATTCATCATGCGTTCTGCGCTCTATGCAGTAGGTCAGCAATGTATACATGTAATTTATACAGCAATGTCAACATGAAAGAGCATTTGTTCCTGAACTACCACAGGATTAAGAGTGGCTGTTTAATGTAAAAGTCCCACATTTTTCCTCCAAAACAAAGATTTGTTCCAGATTTTATAGTATTTTGTGTGTTTGTTTTTAATTTTCTTTTTTTTTGTGTGTTTCTAAAGTAATACAGTGCAAAAATAATGGCCCTAGATAGAACCAGACAGCGAAACTGCTTTTACACACTCTTATATGTACCAAATTAAGCTTCTCTAACAGTTCTACTATTATTTGTATATTACTGTAACACCTAATACAGGTCACATGTGATCTTAAATTTCTTTTACTGCTATCTTGCTGCTCTATGAAAGCTTGAATGATAGTCAGCTGGCACACTAACAGGTAATAGCTTTAGCATAAAATGCTAAATTTATGTAAACAATCTGTCTAATGTATAATACAACTCTGAAAACTGGAACAGATTTTATTTTTTCAGGAACTGGCGCATTCCTTTAAATCTCATCAGTAGAACATTGTAGGGGGGATTAAGTCTCTGAGGCCTACAGATAGGCTTCTGATACCCATTCACTTCAGTTATTCCCTCTTATTGAAAAGCATGGCCTTACGTTGTGATGAAAGCCACAACATTCCCTTTTCAGGGACAGGCCCTGGCACTTATGAAGAACGCTTCTGTACCAGACAGGCCTTTTTAATCTATGAAGGGGCTCTACAACAGAAAAAGAGGGTTCCCGTACTGGGATAGACTAAAGAACTCCTGAGCTTTTCCTTCTTCTAAGAGTGCGTACCAGGGACATCACTAGAGGTTCACTGACACGGGGGCTAAGCCTGTACTAGGGGGGTCTGGGGGCATGGTCCACAAATATAATTTTTTTAATAGCCCCAAAATGTTTGTAATGCACTTTTAGATTAGCAACAGCCAGAAAATGTCAGGTACATCTTCCACATTAAGTATATCAAAAATAATTATTTGGTCAAACTGGCATAGTGTATATTAAGCACAGAGCTAGTATAAAAAACACCATATCCATCCACTTACAACAGACACAGATCAAGCAAAGGCACTGAAGTCAGTGCTACCTCCTTTCTCTCTTAAATAAACTGCAAGGTCCTAAATATATTATTCGAACACACAGATTATAGATCAGTTTAGTCTCAGCTGGTGCAGTCAGTGTGATTTTGCTCTTTGGGCATGTTTAATAAGCTAGGTGAGTTTCATGTATTATATTTTCTCAGTTAAGTTAAATTAAATTCAGTATTAATTTTAACCAAAGGTTTATACAACTCTTGATCACCAACCTCCATCGCATCTGCTCCTTCAGTCCTTCAACCTTTTCAGTCTCCATCAGCTTTTTTTTCTCTCCCTCTATATAAAAGTAAATTTTATTAAACTCAGATTTCCAAGAACTCAAGGAAATAATGATTAATCAATTATTTATTTTTTGTTTGTTTGTTTCAACTGGTAAAATCTACAGGTTGAGGAACTGAAGGATATAAAACATAAAGAGTTATGATGACCTTTTCATACAAAGCTTAAGTAGCATTTTTTTGTTGTTTAGTTTTCCACCTTAAATGCTGCAGTAACTTCAGCCTCGTCCTTTCACTGACGTGAACTCACTGTAAACAATGTATGGCAAATACTAGTGTCATTGGTTGCAAACACTGAAGAGAAATATAAAAACAAAGAATGTAACAATATTTCTATCCCTCTTGTTCGTTCATTCTCTGCACTATAAAGTGAGGTTTAACTAGTTGGCTTGTCAGCTAGTTAGCTAATGTCAGTGTTTGCCTGGCCTCTCTTCTTTAACGCTACCTCACTTAACCCAAAGTTCACTAGCTAAAGTCGGCTACAGTTAACAAGAAACCTAGTAAAAAAAACAGATATCCAGCCTTAGTGACCATATTTTGGCCCAAATCCATATTGTGGGTGGATATATTCACTGTTTCACTCTGTATATTAGGTCTAATGTTTATTTTGGTGAGCTTTCAGCCAAAATCCTGCCTTCAGCTTGGCTACCGATTACTTTGCAGTGCGCAACCAGAGCCCCTCCCCCAGGTCTGATATGATTGGCTGACAACGCAAGAGGTCTGATACGATTGGCTGAACGTTACGTCAGTCAATCTCAGGTAGTAGCAGAGGCAGCGCTGCTTTAGAGCAGCAGCAGCGCCTCCCCCCAGGCCGCATCCTGCTATTACAGTATATTGTGTGTATGAAAATAAACTAGATGATTTGGGCTAGTAATGTACGTTTACTTAAGAAGGGGGACTAAATAACATTAAGGAGGGCTAAAGCCCCCTGAAATTGGCCTAGCTAGGTCCATGGTGTGTACAGTGCTCCCCTCGATGCAGGAGCACTCCTGCTATAAAGCGTAATGGGAACAAACACCGGGCAGCCGCCTGCTGGCCTGTTCGTGTTGGCTGTCTGCGAAGGCGATTATGCTATTTTTGACCTGCGCTATCCTTTTCCTTCCAGTTCAGGTTTGAAATGGCCCTGTATTTGCTCGGCCACGCACAGGCCAGGCCCTATAGCAGGCAAACATGGGTATACTGTTTACATTTTGGGGTTCTAGCGCGCTGTTTACATACCACACACAAGGTGTTAAAACCCCTGAAACCACTCTGAGTTCTGGTGTTGAGCCAGACTGCAGCAGACACTGATTACCCTGAGCTGGTGAACAGCTTTGCGCTGCTCTGCAGAGTGACGTGTCTCTCTGACACACTGACCTACTTTTTCGGCGTAAGCGCTTTTATTTATTTATTTATTTATTTTTACCCGCCCCTAAATTAACCCACAGAGGCGGAGCGGGGCTGCAGGGCTCCGTGACCGCCCATCGGGCCAGCCTAGGGAGAACAAACGTGTGCAGAACAGCGAGAAAAACATTACAAATACAAATACACGTCTCACACGTAGATCGCGAGCGGGCTAACGTTAGTCGCCATGACGACGACGACGCAGGCTAGTGTACGCAAGGCTCACGTAGTATGTTTGTTTACCACACGAAGGCAAAGAAAATAGGCCAGAAAATAGTTATTAAATGTAAAGAGGTTACCTGAAAGTAACAGAATATTAGGATATATGGGTATGTGAGGGGAAGTGTTTAAATAGTGGATCATTTTAAGGGGGAAAAAGCAGCAGAAAGAGAAGCTGAGTCCCAAACCGTGTAACTAACGTTAATAGTACATCGCCATAAGCAGTACATTCATTAGTAACAGGCTGTTTAATGTATAGGATTGTTTAGTATGTGGAAGAGAGAGAGAGAGAGAGAGAGAGAGAGAGAGAGAGAGAGTATGGAAGTAATGGTCGGCACTGGAAAAATATAGTAGTCATGATAATGTGGTAATATAGTAGTCATGATAAATGTAAGTCATGGTAATGAGACAGTTTTCCATATTTATTACTAAATATCTCATAATAATGAGAGTTTCCCATATTTATGACTTGGTATCTCATACTTATGACATAATATTTCGTTATTAAGACATGCTATCCCATAATAACGAGATCCTGTTTCATGACTATGATTTAGTATCTCGTCCTTTTGACTTAATATCTCATAATTACGACTTGGTCTCTCATAATAATGACTTACTACGTCTTAATTATGACTTGCAGTCTCGTAATAGTGATTCATTTTCTCATAATTATGAGAAATTAAGTTATTTTTATGAGATACTACGTCGTAATTACGAGATTGTAATTCTTAACTCTAAGATACAAAGTCAAAAGAATGAGATAGGGTCACATTATTATGATATACTAAGTCAAAAATATGGAAAACGTTTCTCATTATTATGACTCACTAAATTGTAATATATTTTTCTCAGTGGCTGAAACGAGATAGAGAGAAATATTAGTATATCTATGGAGGGAGAGAGAGAGAGAGAAATATTAGTATATCTATGGAGAGAGAGAGAGAGAGAGAGAGAGAAATAAATATTAGTATATCTATGGAGGGAGAGAGAGAGAGAGAGAGAGAGAGAGAGAGAGAGAGAGAGAGAGAGAGAGTCAGAGTCCATGTTTTCCCGCGCTCACGTGCCAGCGCGTGCACGCGTGCCTTTCAGTAGTGTGGCTGCGATGCCAAAGCCCAGCTTAGCAACACGGCTAACGCGGATACTACTAGCGTTACTACTGCTCTGCTGCTGCGGCTGCTGGGGTTGTTTTTTTATGATTCAAAGCTGTTTTTAGTACACATTGGAGCTAAATTACACGGCGTTGGCACGAGTCGGAGTCCGGCGGTGGAATAAATAACATCTACCCTCTCTTTGTTTGCTTGTTTGGAAGATTATAATGCTCTTTCTTCTGAAAGGATCCTGAACCGAGCGAGTGAGTAAGTAAGTATGCGCGGTGCTGCCTTTACCCTCCTCCCTCGGGCCGAAGTCGGTCTGTCTGTCATTGTATTTCGTATGAAGCTAAAAACAGGCCGTGTTAAGGACACCTGTGTTCCGATTAGTGACGATTTTGCCTATTTTTTGGTTGTGTTAACGTAGAGAATACGATAAATTATGGTGTTAGTTCTCCTAAAGGGGTGGGCGGTATAACAGAACGTAGATACCGCGATACTAATAGACATTCTCGATACGTTTCTCGACTCACGGTATGAGTCACGATATGTTGTTTTTACTGAGGTTTGCCGAGTTGGAACAGACACTGGTTTGTAAGTAAGTGACTGGTTGAGTCTCCACCTTTAATCTGAAGTGTACTAGCTAAAGCAGGAGAACAGACTAGCATGGTAAAGCATAATGTTCTGCACTAACGTTATATGCAGGTCAGCAGTGTAAACATGCAATTTATGTAACAATGTCAACATGAAAAAGCATTTATATTGCTGACTTTCACATTAACAGGGGATTCCTGTCTCACTTTATAGCATTGAGAGTAGACATTTAATGTCATGGTCCCACATTTTTCCTCCAAAACAAACACCTTTTCCAGTTTTCATAGTTTTGTGTGTATAGTGTTTTTTTGTTGTTGTTGTTGTTGTTATTGAATGTGTGTTACTAAAGTAAGATATAGTGCAAAATAATGGCCCATAGGCTTCCACAGGGCACAGGACAAGACAGCAAGCTTGCTTTTATACACTCCTCAATGTAATATATTTTTATATTACAATAAGACCTAAACCAGGTCACTTAATCTGTCTTTCGCTTGCTTTTCTGTCAGTCAGTCACTGTCGCTGTGTCATGATACTAATAAACATTTTCTTAATGATATGAGTCACGATATGTTGCTTTTGTTGACGTTTGACAAGTTGGAACAGTCAATGACAAACCAGCCGTGCCACCTTAACAAAAGGGCTAATAAACAGGGCTAATAACATAGTGCTCTCTTTGTAATAAAACATGTAGCCATTCTTTAAATACTGATGAAATCCATGTAATTTATCACAATATTGTCATAATTATTTGTAGTTATAATGTTACAGTTAGTAAAATCACCATTTGCCACCCGTCCATGTAGGTTCTAGGTCTATTTCTACCCTATTAATAGGTACAGAACAAAACAGAACAGTGTCTTATAGCTGCCACACTTCTGTCAGTGATTGTAGAGCCTCATGTGTTCATATACAGCTCTCATGTGTTCATATACAGACTTAAGCAGAGTCATGGGACGAATGAGTCACCGTCTTGACCCATGTTTCTACTTCAACAGGATGAAACGAGGCCGAGTAAACATTGCGGCCAAGTGCCAGAGCTTCAGCCCTACCCAGAACAGAGCCAAGAGGCAAAGGACTGGCCAGGGAGTGTCTGCCTCACAGAGTTATGTCCATGACTGGGGCAACCTGCCCCATCACATCGTCCTGCACATCTTCCAGTACCTGTCTTTAGTGGACCGAGCGCGGGCCTCGTCCGTGTGCCGCTGCTGGAATGATGTGTTTCACATCCCTGAGCTGTGGAGGCGTTTTGAATTCGAGCTGAACCAGCCGGCCACGTCCTACCTGAGGTCCACTCACCCTGACCTCATCCAGCAGATCATCAAGAGACACGCTCAGCACCTGCAGTACGTCAGCTTCAAGGTAAACCGGCCTTGGCAGTTGCACAACACTACAGCAGAACAGTTCCTTAAGGCCTAAGCACACTGACCCAATGCTCACCAAACAAATGGCAGTGTTCTTATGTTGTACAGTTTTATGTATGATTAGAAAAAGTCAATACACCTTTGTCATTCCTTCTCCCTACAGCCAAATGTAGGTAAGGGATGAAATGTAGTACCTCTGTTATATGGTGCAACATTTAAAGGGCCCATATAATAGAGAACTGGAACTTTTTTAAAATAAAAGCCTTGGAAACACTGTTAAAGTTTAAAGAAATACCCCTTAGAACCTGCTATATATGGTCTATATATATATATATATGTATGAAAATTAAGCTGTTATAGTGGCCAGTTTTGAATGAATTGATCTTGTGATGTCAGAAAAAACAAAACATTTACACACAGTAACAAAAACAGCCTGTTGAATATTAAGCAACAAAGAGAGGTTGGAAAATAGTCGTGTATAATTTAAGTATGAAATAATAAAATAAATAAAATGGCACTTTTTGAGAAAAACGCCAATGATTTTGACAGAAAAACATTAAATAGGACTACAGCAAAGACAAACAATTTGCAAATTATTTGAATGGTGATGAAAATTGGAAACCATGATGAAAAATGCTGTTTTTTTTCTTTGCTCTCTAACCATTTTCTGTTGTTGAGGACATTGGATTTTGTGGCTCATAATGTAGCCTACTACAGTTTATTTAATCTACACTATTATTATTTATTGTCAGCTCAGTTTTTTTCCTATCGAAAGCAGTTTTTCTTGATAATTAAAGTGTGTTTTTATTTATTGTTTTTATATTTATGGCATAAATAAAATTTCAGAAGAAAAAAGACCTTCACTTATAGTTTTCAGCCAGACATATCTTGATTTCTGGCCAGGAATTCTCATTTTGGTGCATCACTATTGGATATTTTTGGTACATTAAATCCACACAAATGTCATGAGTGGACTTAAGAGAAATAAAAATCAAGGAAAAAGTGGGATGTGGGCTCTTTAACACAGAACCTCAACAGTACAAACAGACAATACAGGCAATAAACTGAATCAAACACTGTACAATAAACTGTACAACAATTAACTATGAGGATATCTGCTAAACCTATTTAGGAGAACATTCGAGAGTCTTCCAACACTGGAATGGCAGACACAACAACCAGACATTTGGGTGTGTTGGAGTTCATTGGGTCTTTGTGCTCCGTCCTTTACAGATTAAATGAAAAGGTGCTGCAGAACCCAATCACTGTCTCACAGCTTGAGATATCATCTTCAGGACTGGGACTCAGCTTTCCTGGACACAGTAAAGCCTTCAGTATTAAATTAACGCCTCCAGAGCTCATTTGGAGCAGTTAATTTATTGCTGCTTATTTTACGGTGTGGCGGTGACTAATGGATGTAAAATATGATGTGGTCCAAAGGCCAGGAGTCCACAAACTGTACATTAATTCTAGGCCTATTTACAAGTCATGTTAACGGCCAAATTTGTGAAGTGCTACTCATGCCTTCATGTTTTACTTTGCGCTTAACTATAAACACTGCTGTCTGGTGTTCTTCATCTTGTCTCTGTAGAGGGCCTATTTAGCCTGTTTGGGTCTCAGGGGGTGCACTGCCAGACATCTCACTCTGCATTATAACTCTGCATTATTAGTCGGTAACGTTTGTTCACTAGTGACGATTTTCTCAAGAACCCTGCTGTTTGTAAGTTATACAGACCATTCAGTGAAATAGAAAAAATATGACATATAATATGACCATGTATGTCACATATACACTATATGGCCAAAACATCAACCCCCCTCCTCTAATTATTGAATTCAGGCATTTTAGGCACACCCATTACTAACGGGTGTATATAATCAAGCACCTAGTCATGCAGTCTCCAAAGACAAAACATTGGCATTAGAAAGGGTCACACTGAAGAGCTCAATGACTTAAAGCACAGCACTGCCATAAGATGCCACCTTTGGCACAAGTCAGTTTGTGAAGTTACTGCCCTGCTAGATCTGCCCCGGTCAGCTGTAGGTGCTATTTTTGTCTTTAATCTTAAATGGAAGCTTCTAGGAGCAACAACAGCTCAGCTACGAAGCGGTAGACCACTCAAACCCACAGAGCGGGGCTGCCGAATGCTGCAGCACATAGCACATAAATATTGCCTGTCCTCTGTTGAATCACTCACTACAGAGTTCCAGACTGTCTCTGGAAGCAACATCAGCACAAGAACTGCACATTGGGAGCTTCCAATGTGGGTTTCCTTGGCCGAGCAGCTGCACACAAGATTATTATGCGCAGTGCCAAGTGTCAGCTGGGATGGGAAAGCACACCGCCACTGGACTCTGGAGCAGTGGAGTTATGAATCACGCTTCACCATCTGTCAGTCTGATGGATGAATCTGTGCTTGATGGATGCCAGGAAAACGCTACCTACTGGAACATATAGTGCCAACAGTAAAGTTTGGTGGAGGAGGGATAATGATTTGTGGCTGTTTTCCATGGTTTGGGCCCCTCAGCTCCAGTGAAGGGTGATGTTAATGCTACGGCATACAAAGACATTTTAGACAATTATATGCTTCCAACTTTCTGACAACAGCATAACTGAGGCCTTGTGCACAAAGAGAGCTCCATAAAGACATGGTTTGATGAGTTTGGTGTGGAGGAAGTCCACTGGTCTGCACAGAGCCTTGACCTCAACCCCACTGAACACCTTTGGGATGAAGTGGAACGTTGATTGTGAGCCAGGCCCTCTCATCCAACATCAGTGCCTGACCTTTCAAATGCTCTTTTTTACAAATGGGCACAGATTCCCACAGACACAGTCCAAAATCTTGTGGAAGGCTTTCCCAGAAGAGTGGAGACTCTATTAGCCACAAAGGTGGGGCAACTCCATATTAATGCACATGGTTTTGGAATGGGCTGTCCAAGAAGCTCATATAGGTGTGATGGTCAGATGTCCACATACTTTTGGCCATATTGTCTATTTAAAATTCAACACCCCCAACGTAGAATGTGTTCCAGTGTCTGTATGTTCAGAACTTTTTATCTCTTTCTTTCTCTTATACATGGCACTGTATTGCTGTATCTGGCACTGAAAGCTTCCTCAATCTTAAACCAGAAGTGAGAAGGCGTACAAGCTTTATTCTGTATAATTACATCAAATAAAAATGTATCACATTATCAAGTGCATTAAGAAAGTTACCACCTACAGCCTGCATCCTTTGCTGAACTGCACGAATCTAACCTTTGTATCAAAATGGAAAACTCTAACGAAATGTTTATCAAAAAAGATAGATGGATGGATGGATGGATAGATAGACAGACAGTAGCAAAACATAATTGCACAGAAACTCACATATATCAGGCAGAAATGCTAATGGAAATAAAAAAAGACATAAAAAATTGGACATACGTATGAGTGAAAGTATGAGAGAGTAGAAATAGAAGTATATCTATTTGGCATATTTACGTAGCATATAAGACAGATTTGTTGTCGGCAAAACCAACATTTTCTTTTTTCTTTTTATATCTCTGCATCTTGTCCTCAAAATACCCTATTCCAACTGATAACTACTGAACGGTTATCGTTATTGATGTTTCTTTTACATATGTATAGTTCTGTGACAAAAGCTTTCCTATTTGTTGTTTTTCATTTTTTTGACTTAAAATTGACAGCTGCCCTTTACATTGTGTCAAAATGTCATGATAAATGGACCAATAGAAGAAGTCAGTTTATTGAAATAAATAATTAAATAATGAATTCTTTAATATGGCAATTTCCTGCAAATGTCAGTGTATACTTTCTGTTTATTTGCTGAATTTAACATAGTGGACAAAAATATGTAAAATGTGCTTGCTCCCAAACATTTGCATGTGCCAGATATTGGACTGGTTTCCGAGACAGAGATTAAGCCTAGTCCTGGACTACATTCTCCTTTCAATGGAGAATCTCAGTACTAGGCTTAATCTTAGCCCTTTGTCTTATTTTTTTCTAAATATGGTACATTTAGCAAATAAACAGTAACTCTGCATTCAGTTTTCACAAGTGTGTTCTCTGTAGAGGATGTTTTAACTTCTTTTTTACTTAAGAAATCAACAAAACGTAATTTGGCCCAGGGTGCCTAAACTTTTTCATAAGACTATATGCAATTATAAGAGTGAGTAACTGAAAGTAGACCTACTAATAAGCAACAAGAATATAATGGTTAAAAGCTGCCTTAAATATTTATCCTCAGTGTAGTTTTGGTCAGTCATGGCAGTGCACCTTGTGTACCTTTTGTTAGCACAATAAGTTGAACACTTCCCAGAAATTCTGGGACAGATTCCTTGACCTGACATGTACAGGAAAAACAGTGAGCCTGATTCTGATTCACATCACAGCTTACGGCCTGCAGGTCAGTTTTATCTCATTTGGTTCACCATGATCAAATTTCAACCATCAACCTTAAGGTTTACCGCCATTCCAGCTCATGCATTAAGGTAGAGTATGTTTAAAGTCGACATGAACTGAAATAATAATGTACTGTCTTTCTGTGCTGTGACGTATTTACAAAAAAATCACAGTATCGAGGAGGGTCTCTGAGCTAGTTGAGTGTTTTCTCTCAGTGATAAGTGTGGGTGAAAGGAGGGGAGGTGAAACATGTTACTACAACCCCATTTTCTAAAAAAGTTGGGATGCCGTGCAAAATGTAAATGAAAACAAAATGCAATGATGTGCAAATCATTTAAACCCTATGCTTATTTGAAAAAAGTACAAAGACAACATATCAAATGCTGAAACTGAGAAATTTTATTGTTTTTTTGAAATATATATGCCCATTTTGAATTTGATGGCAGCAACATGGATGCTGGCTTTTGAACCGTGTGAACTGTGACCACAGGACACTTTTCCACTTCACCTTAGTCCATCTTAAATGAGCTCGGGCCCAGAGAAGGTGGCAGCGTTTCTGGATCCTGTTTATATATGATTTCTTCTTTGCATAGTAGAGTTTAATTTGCATGTGTGGATGCAGTGACAACCTGTTTTCACAGACGGTGGTTTTCAGAAGTGTTTCTGAGCCCATGCAGTGATTTCCAGTACAGAATCATGTCTGTATTTAATGCAGTGTCGTCTGAGGCCCAAAGATCTTAGTATTGTCACAGAAGCTATGTTGCTGTGATTTGCATTTAAATATCTACAACTCAAAACCTCATTCAGATCCCTTTTTTCAATAGTGTACTGTCGAACATGAGCTACACTGTTTTTTTTAAATGTCTGTGTTTTTGTGCTGCAGGTTGACAGCTGCACAGAGTCTGCAGAGGCAGCGTGTAACATCTTGTCCCAGCTGGTGAACTGCACTATTAAAACCCTGGGCCTGATCTCAACAGCAAGGCCCAGCTTTATGAATGTCTCTCAGGTACTGCACATGCAGTCACATTACCCCCATCCTGCTGTCATAGTGCTCTGAGACTCAGTGAGCTCAAATGACATGATGGCTCAATGGAGAAGGTGTGAAAAGCCCTTGGTGCTGACTCTGCATGTCTCCTTGTGTGTTCTGTCCCCAGTCACACTTCGTGTCTGCGCTGACGGTGGTGTTTGTGAACTCCAAGTCTCTGTCCTCCATAAAAATTGATGATACGCCAGTTGACGACCCTTCCCTGAAGGTTCTGGTGGCCAACAACAGTGACACGCTGAAGCTCCTGAAGATGAGTAGTTGTCCACACGTCTCCCCAGCAGGTTTGTGAAATATGTATGTTGCATCCAGTCTGGAATTAAAGCCATTTACAATAGAGAGTGACTAAAACCTGCTGCCCTGCACTTGGGGTTTTCTCTGCTCCAACACCTGAATCATTCAAGTCATCGAGGGTTTGATAAATAGCTGAATCAGATGTGGTGTGGCAAAAAAAGACTGCACAGTACAGTGGGCCGCTACTGGGATATAAGAAAACATGATTTAGATAAACATTAAACTGTTTAGATCCTATTTTTTTAGTAAAACTGCATGATCCTTTTGCAAATCCATCTCATTTAATGCTGAATGCATTTTAAAGTCTATAGAACCATAAAACTGCTGGCTGGTTCTTTAGTTACTGCAGGCTGGTTAGTTTAGTTACACATAGATGTGAGAATTTCACCGATTAGGAAGTCTCAAATCTGTTTGTGAACGAGATGTCAGCCATGTATTGATATAATTATAATTTTGATAGATTCCTATGAATCTGAAAGGAATGATAGGGTTAGAAAATCAAATGTACAAAATGTTTCACTCACCCCAGATGTTATTGACCACAGAATACATATTTTTTAGTCCAAATTTTGCTTCTTTAGTTTAAAACTAGAGCAGCAAGGCTAAACTCAGTAGTCACCCTAATAGCCCGAATTGTTTCTGTAAAAAATGCATCACCAAATCGCTCAATTTGCTCAAACCACATCCAGATCTTCATTAAGGTCACAGAGGCTTGTCGATGTGGACTAGAACACAGTATGACATACTGTATAAAAATGAACAAAAGTGCAGGCAGACGTTTTAGACAACAATGTCTGTATTCACAAACCAGTAGGTGTGCTGACCTAGAATCAATATTTGTGACGGTTATTGTCATAAATATGGAGGAATATGGTCTAAGATCAGTCCTGCTTTCTGAATTGGCAGCCAGTAGCTGTACGCAGCATTTTTATAGCTCAAAGCAAGTTGTGCTGTGATCTTAACTACATGGACATATCTGCCTGACCTTAATGAATACCTGAATGAAGTGTTGGTGATGTATTTTTGCAGAAACAGTTCGGGCTATTTGGGTGACTTTTGTGACTATTGTGTTTTTGTTAGCAATGCTGTCCTTGTAACTCCAGCTCTAAACTAAGCAAATGAAATTTGGACTCCAAACGTTTTGGCTCATAACCTACGTCTCAGGTGTTACGAAAACTGGGTAAATTAGATTTTTTGTCGATTTTTTTCTGTTTCTTTAAACATTCTTGAATGAGTAAAACAACATGATGGTCAAGCAAATCCATCTCATTATAATGCCACATATTTCCAAAGGTCAAATACAAGTATTGCGACATTTCTGTGTTATTATATTAGACCAATGTGGTTGTATTACTACCCAATATTGGTATAGTAGCATATCTTAGTAGTGCTTCTATATACTATATGTTGCTACAAAGACTTTCCAAACAATATTTCAAACAATAATGTCATATGAATAAAGATTGGTCTATATTATTATTGACTACTTATTGGATTACATGAATACCTCGATTTATCAAAACACCCACAGAACACTCATCTGGCACTATGATTGGTCGGGATACTCACAGCACAATAGAAAACATTTGGATTGGTTAGAGGGCTCTTTTGTATATTTCAGACTTGAGCAACATCAGCATTTTAAAGGACTAAAAATTAGACTAGTTGAGGGCACTTGAAGAGATCACAGACCTGTTTGTGACCTGCAATTAGAAGTTGTTTTCTGATGCTGTACCGTATTGGTATTTTGAGCAGACCCCTCAATAACAGGCCCACTTTGTGCTCATTCAGGAATCCTGTGTGTGGCAGACCAGTGCCACGGCCTGCGAGAGCTGGCACTCAACTACCACCTCCTGAGCGACGAGCTGCTGCTGGCGCTCTCCTCAGAAAAGCACGTGCACCTGGAGCACCTGCGCATCGATGTGGTGAGCGAGAACCCGGGCCAGACCCAGTTCCACAGCATCAAGAAGAGCAGCTGGGACGCCCTTATCCGCCACTCTCCGCAGGTCAACATCGTCATGTACTTCTTCCTGTACGAGGAGGAGTTCGAGCCGTTCTTCTGTGAGGAAACACCCGTCACGCACCTGTACTTCGGCCGTGCCGTCAGCAAGGACATGCTGGGCCGCATCGGGCTGAACTGTCCGCGCCTGGTGGAGCTGGTGGTATGCGCCAATGGACTGGAGCCCCTGGATGAGGAGCTGATCCGCATCGCCGAGCGCTGCAAGAGCCTGACGGCCATTGGCCTGGGCGAGTGCGAGGTCACCTGCAGCGGTTTCATGGAGTTCGTGAAGATGTGCGGCGGCCGCCTCAGCCAGCTGTCCATCATGGAGGAGGTCCTGATACCGGACAACAGCTACAGTGTGGAGCAGATACACAGCGAGGTGTCCAAGCACCTCGGACGCATCTGGTTCCCTGACATGATGCCCACCTGGTAGACATATGTATGGGCATGTATATGTACAGTACAGTGTAAATGACTAAGAGAATTACATTTAAAGATATTTATTTGAGCACTATGTGTTTATTTGCTCTGACAGATGTCAGAATAAATACAAATAAATTTGAATACAATAAATTGTGATTTAAAGTGTTAACCATTTCCAAACCTCCCCTCGAGGAAACAAAGGATTTACATGTACGTGCAAATATATACTGTGTAAAAGTCAGAGACCACCTTTAATGTACTAAATTTCCAGTCAAAACACTATTTAGTACTTTGTGAAGTTCTTTATTTTCAGGAGATATTTCTGATTTCTAAAGAGATTAGTATAAGTATATTTTTATAAGTATATTTTGTAAGTAATCCACTTATAAAAAGATAAGATAGATAAGGGAAAATAAAAGGAAAACAAGTAAAAAAACAGGGGTTTCCAAAACTGTAGTTCAGACAAATAATTAAAAAAAACATATAGAAAAAATGGAACTCCTAAAAATTGTGCAAGACTTGGTCTGTCCCTCTGCCATGCGATGACTATGAGTCTGAAAAGATGTGTAGCACTCAAGAAGCCAGTACTGAGAAAAACAAATAGACAAAAAAGGTGCTGGCGGTTCTCATTGAACGTGTTCAAGATTACTTGGATTGAGAGAAGACTGAACTGTTCAAGAGTGCAAAAACTGGAAATATGTCCCTGCAGATTTCTTTATAAAACTGAAAGCAAGTCTCCTGAAAGGAACCGAAGCTGTAATAAATCAGTGGAAACAGTAAGTGTTGACAAAAATTGCCATTATATTTAGTTGTTGAGGCTTCTGTGTACTTTTCTGTTAAATATGTTTTCTGAAAAACTAATACATAATGGTTTTGACTGGAAACGTAATAAATTAAGGGTGGCGTCTGGCTTTTGCACAGTACTGTACTTGCACACACTTATGCAAACACACACGTATGTGTACATATGTACTAAAGTCCTTACACGCTTAGATATACTAAGGCAAGAGAGCGCACATGTATGCGAATGCATTCGGACACAAACAAGGGACAAAGAGAGAAAGACTTTTCTGGAATCTTTCTGCATGGAAATATGATACTGACACACTGGACGTGGTGTCTGTGTGGACAGACTGTTTTTCAGACTGAGAGAACTGGACTGTTTTTAACACGGGGGACTTGAAAGCCCCATATTGTGTATAGAAAAGAGATGTCAAATATGTGTAAATGGAAATGTGATTTTCTGTGTTATTAACTGAGGTTTTGTTTCAGGAAGTCAGATATAATGCAGTTTGAGACAGAGACCACCTTCTCACAGAAATACGACTTTCGCTCAGTAGAGACTGAAGATATCGACAGAATAATTCATGAAGCCCAGACTGCTGTGTGCTGCAGTGTCCTCCTGCTGTGGCTGGCTTTTCACAGCCCTCTCCTCCCCATACGGAATTAGGGAACAGGAAGGAGTCGTGGAGGAGTTGAACCGTGCGCTGTTAGGACAAGGTGTAGGTTTGGATAGTCAACACTAGAACAGGTAGAGTCAGTTCTGTTAGAATGGAAACGAAAGCTGTGAGGTTTCAGACAGTGGTCTCTCTCCCAACTGCAGCGGTTACATAACTCGGTTTTGTTCTGTCTCCTTTGTGGATTGAATGTCAGTATGATTAAGCTGTCTTTTCATAGGGGCTTTTCTTACTTTCTGCTATGTGAACAACTATGCTTTTGTTTGTACTTTTTATACTTCAGCGTTAGGCTAATTGTTGAAGACTTTTAGTGGAAGCGTTTATGTAAAGGCAGAATTGAGTTGTTATCTTTGAAAATATTTCCACTAGAATGAGGAGATATATGAGTTGTGTCATTGTGCTGAGCTTCACAGTTCTAGCAAAACTCAAGAGTTTCCTTTCTCACATGGAATATTAATGTGATTATGGCAAAAAAAAGGGTGATTCCTAAGTATGAAGACTGAAGGAGACTTAATGAGTGTCAAATAATGCTGATCTAAGATCAGATGGCCTGATTTTATATAATGAATTCAATAGTTAAAGGACTAGTATTACAGGAAAACAAACCGTTCCTGCTTTTTTGAAATATGTACACTGTAATCGTTATTAAAATTTCAAAGCATGCCATTTACATTCACTCATATGTGCGAACTGTGCTGGAAAAAACTGTTCTTTAGTTTTGTGATGTCACCAAAACCAATGCATTTATATAAATCCACCGATCCAGCCTATAGTAGCTTAATCCTGCCCATTCACATGGAACTTATCAGGAGTGTTTTAGCCTGGACTTCTTATTGAACTAGGCAGCTTGATTAATTCTATGGGATAAAAAAATAATGATTTGTTTCAATCATATTTCTCAATCCCAAGGATGCTTTACAGTATTAACACAAAATTACATTAATACATTTATTATTTTGGTGCATAAATCCACACATATAAAATAAAAAAATGTAGGTTATGGGTCCTTTAATACTGTTGAATTCCTTGTATTAACCTTAAAGGCTTAGATCAGGCATTTTTGAACCAGACTGCAAAAAACACTGAACAGGGAAAAGTCTTGTGTGCACTTATAAGGGACAATAAACTCTTCTCTGTGAAAATAAGACACTTAATTTCATAAGTTTGACTTTATGTTATGAAATCTCTAATGTTGCGTTTTCTTTGTGTGCAATAAATCATCTCGGCTTTCTCATTTGCTTGGTGATCAGAAAAGATATTCAAGACAGGAAAATATGTAAAAGAATGAGGCTGATTTAATGAATGTTGATGGTTTGGTGAGCTCAGCTAACAAACACTGTGACATAAAAAGGCACAAATATGTACTTTTGACATTGAAACATCATCCATCTTGTTCTCTTCCTCCTGTCCCTCTCATGGCGATGTCTTTGCAGGTCAGGAATCCAACACTAGATGGCAGAGGCGGCCCACCGAAACAGGCTCTGACAGCTTTACATAAAAATGCAACGAGCTCTCCAAATCGAATCAGTGCTAGACCCATTTTATTGCAAGCTTCAGCCACAGAGCACCCTTAAGCGAGACGTGGATGGGAAGAGTGAAACGTTCCCTCGGCTTCATCTGCTTGCTTGACCATACAAGTGGGATCATCATTGACCCCTTCAAGAGTGAGGAACGTCAGAAGGACGTCAGAGATACAATTAAGTATTCGAAAGGGGGGGGGGCACGTGTGTCCTCTGCTTTAGCAGATTATTTTCGCACACGGGCAGCCTAGTCAAACCTTAAATAATTAAGAATTAAGTGTAATAACAAAGCCAGAGATGCTCTTAAGTCTTGCTGCAGTGCTTGTGTTTCTGTCTCTCTCCATCAAGCCCAACATGCTCTCAATACGGATACATGAACTGAAAATACCAGGATATTATGTAACATCTGCAAACCTCAATTATTTCATGAGCAGCTCGAAGCGCTCGTGAATACAAATGCGCCCTGCATGACGAGGGGAAAGTAGGTTTCTCGCAGGGAAGCAAATGCTACCAAAGCACCCAGGCAGTCCGGTGAGGCAGCTTTTTGGTGAGAAACTGTGGGAGATGTATCGATTAGCCGGTGCGGCTCGTGCTGCCTAATAGTCTGAACTTCTGCCTGGAGCCCGAGAGAACCTCAGGGACCTGGTTTGGATCAGCCTTCTGCATTTATCCATGAGGCTTGTTAGAAGAGAAGGGGGCTGGAGGAAGCACATTCAGGAGCCGAAGACGGACTGCTTTGAGCTATTCTGCTTATTCCTCGACTGAGCTGACCAGACACGCGTCGTTTAACGCCGCAGTACTGTGTTCTGCATAAAACAGTGCTTTTGCACTTCTGTCTGTGAAACATCACCCATACAAATGGTCTGACCTCTCCCAATATGGCACATGGCCATGTGCAAATCAGTGTACAAATCACTTTCACCTTTTGCAATAATGTCCCTTGTGTCTCAAGAAATCTGACAAAGTTCTGACAAAAGCAGCTCTTGTGCTTCAGTGCTATATTCTAGTGCTGCTGGACAGCTGGGCAGTCGGGGTACTGGGGCTCTGTGCTGTGTCCTGTGGGACAGTAGATGAGGACATGCTGGGGAAAGAAGCACACAGTTCTTTGAGGCTCCTCCACTCTCTGAGCCATCGGTCCCGGTGGTGGGAAGGCAGCTGGTCTATCTGCCTTGCCTTGAGGTGATCGGATAGCACTAGTGTCCCCCTCAGGGCATGTAGAGTGTACCTGCAAGAAAGAGTCCTCATGAAAAATAGCCAGTCTTGAGTGAAAAACAGGCCAGTTTGCAGGGAACTGGTTACTTCACAATAAAGAATGTGAAGGGGATTTTCTTTTTGTCCGTTTGTCTTTAGTAAAATTAGCACAGTGTTATCCATCTGTTACTGTAAATAGTGAGCAAAATTGAAAAGAAAGTGATCAGATTACCTTGGCAGCAGTGCTACGACAGTGGTTAAAATGCAGACCAGGTAGAACATGGGGTCAGCCACTTGCTCCTGCACGAGCCAGTAGGGGTCAGAGGGAGGGTTGCAGCTGACGCAGAGGGCACTGAAGGCCAGACTCACGACGAAGTAAACAATCACACTGCCCACCATGATCACCCAGTGCACCACCGTCTGCAAGCAGCCAAACGGAGAAATCATAATGGCCCATTACTCTAAACCAGCAGTTAGGAAATGACTGGCTTGGCTGACAACAATAGCAGAGCAGTGGTTCCCAGTCCCAGTCCAGCGCACTCCCTGCCCTTCACCGCTGTGGTGTTGCCATCATTCTACCACACCTGGACCCACAAAACCCCCCTGGACCCCCGGGTCTTACAATAGCACATTTAACAGCTTCACAAAACCTGACCAACAGACCCGCAGTTAACTCATTTTACAACAGCAATTAATAACTTTCTATGTAATCCCAGGTTTAGATGCTCAAACTAAGATTAATCCTTGGGCGTGTGCATATGAAACTGACATTTACAACAAACGGCCAATCAGGGAAACATGACGAGGAGTCGAGTGGCTTATTTATCAAAGAAGGGAAAGGAAATCATACAGGAAATGTAAAGTAAAACATTCCTAACAGTGAAAAGCAGCACTGTCGCCACTGTGTTTACTGGAATACTAATTATTCAAATAACTTCTTGATGTCTATGCAGAACGATGTATTTCCTCCACTGAAAAGCAATATTTT